ATTTATGCGTTCCATTTCTTTCTTAACAATTTCTAATTTTTCTTCCTTCATGGCTCTCAAATTCCATGTACCAATCACTAGGGTCTGCTTACAGCTGTTCCTCCTCCCTTGTGTTTCCATACTTGATGGTTCTACCTAGGTTGCCCTTTTTGTTAATCCGCGTGTGTTCTGTCCTACATAGGGTTTTCAGAGGCCTGCTGTTTCAGAAGTGGGTGGCCAATCCTTCTTCCTAGTCTGTCTTAATCTGAATGTTCAGAATTATCAAATTACAGAAAGTTATTATAAAATTAAGGCACGTGGTTCAAATCCACCAGCTGCTCTGCAGGAGAAAGATGGGCAGTCTCCTCCCGTGTGATTTGCTGCCTCTGAAAGCCCACTGGAGGGTCAGCTGAGGGTCGGTTCCAACTCGATAGTACACTATAACAACAGCATTATGAAATTTAAAATTAAAAAAAAAAACCCACACCAAAACCACACAAACTGAACATTGTCAGTCATTGGTAAAAGGCTTAAGAAGGGTGGTGGTGTTGGTATTATGGGCTAACATTAAATTATGAATCAAATAATAACTGAAGAGTGGAAACTACCTAAATGCCCATCAATAGTTAATGGACAAACAAAATGTGGTATTGTTATTCAGTGGAATATTATTTCAGGCATAAGGGGAAAGGAAGTTCTGATTCATGCTACAATATGGATAAACTTTGAAAACCTTATCCTGAATGAAATAAAGCAAAATACAAAAGGAGAAAAGTTGTATGATCCCACTATCTATCTAGACAAGGCATTTGCATAGAGACCAATGATTATCAGTGGTTATCAGTGATGAGTGGGAGGAAGGAATGGGGAGTTATTACTTCATGGGCGCTGAGTCTCTGTTAAAGATAATGAAAACATTTGAAAATGGCTAGTGCTGATAGTTGCACAACATGTTGAAAGTAATGTCACTGAAGTATACACTTACAGATTGAAATGGCAAATATTTTGGTATATACACTTTTACCATAATAAAAATAATTTATTGGATGAAGCAATAAATGAACACAATGAAAATTCAATTAACTAAGGTTTATTTTTAAAATTACTTTTCCTGCAGCCAGTTATTTTTATGCCCTAGACTTGTATGCTTGTGCTAATTTTCATGGTTGTCCTGACCTCATGTTCCATCCCGTTTCAGGTTAGAAGGCTCCAGGCCTTCATGAGGAGTTCAGCATGGAGACATTCAAGCAGCAGAAGGTGGAGGACTTTTATGACATCGGAGAGGAGCTGGGGAGGTAAGACACTTTGTGAGACGTGGACAGGATGTCAGGTGGAGCCACAATTATGCTTCTGTTTGTATGACTAGTCAGTTGTACAAAGTTATGGCTCAGGCTTGTCATAGGACTAGTGGGAATTTTTAAAACAGGCCTGAGGTGTATTCATTTTCATGGATGTTTCAGCAAATTATCGTTGGTCTGTAAATAAAGAGAGGTCATCAAAAAGGGTGGTTAGAGTAGTTGAGTTCTGTGTCTTCAGTAGAACCTGGCTGACAGTTAATGGCAAAATGAAATGCTTCTTATTTTCTGAGATCAGACAAGAGCATACCCACTGAGGGTATGATGAAATGATTCTTGTTTTATCAGGTAACTTTTCTCACCGAGCCGTCCCTGGGGCTGACAATAGAGGCTGGCCTGTAATTTTCTTCTCTAGTCTCACCTAAGATTTTCCATAGTTCCTAGGCATTTTTTAATTTTTTTAAGCTTAAAGTTTTAGTGAAGAAGTTCTAGTGAGAATAGATTTGTTTTGAGTGACCAACCACACGCACCTTGTCATTCATGTGCCTGGGATCTGAGTTTTTTGGTGCATTTTCAGGTTTACTAATCCCACAGTGACTGCTGCAACGAACTCTTGTGTTTCAGGAAATGTGAGGATGGTGCAGGATAGAACAGGGTTCACATCTTTTGTTCATAGGGTCGCTATGAGTCGTACTCGACTCAGTGGCACCTAACAACAATCCCATAGTGCAGCCAAGGCTACATTCTGAAGTCTGAAAATTGTTATTATTTGGAGAGAAATGAACATATTCTGAAGTTATCATCTCAATTCCCCTTTATAACAACTCTTCATATTTAGATGATGTTTTCTAATTACTGAGAGGTTGGTAGCTTAAGTCCTCCCAGAAGTAGTTTGGAAGAACAGCCTGGTGATCTATGTGTGAAAAACCAGCCATTGAAGACCCCGTGGGGCACAGCTGCCCCACATGTGGGCTCTTCGAGAGCTCACTTGAGAGCACCTGGCTTTTTGGTTTGTTGTTGTTGTTAGGTGCTGTCAAGTTGAGTACCCCTCATAGCAACTCTATGAACAACAGGTCTGAACCCTGTCCTATCCTGTGACAGCCTCATAATTTCTTTTTTTTTTCCATTAAGAATTTTTAAAAATAATTTTAATGAGAATTTACAGAGATTTTGAATTTCCATTCATTCATTGCTGCACTTCTCTCCCCGCCCCGCCCCCCCCCCCCAGTTCGCTCCTCTCCTTCAAAAGTAAAAGAAACACTCCCTCCCTGGTACACAATCCCCCACACCCTTCCCGTCACCCTAAGTACATTCCACTATGCAACCTTAATTGTGGACTCTTGTGATAACCATAATACCCTATCATACATTGCTTTTAAATTATTCACTCCCTCATCTGTTTCAGTGCAGTATAACAATTTATTCAGTTTTTCTCAGTCTTACCCCAACCCTGATATCAGTCCCATTTTACAACAGTGGCACCATGAAATATTTGTCCTTTTGCAACTGAGATATTTCACTTAGCATAATGTCCTCCAGGGTTACCCATTTTGAATAGTATTGCTTGAGTTCCTTGTTTTTCATTACAGCATAGTATTCCATTGTGTGAATATACCACAGCTTCCCTATCCATCCTTGCTATTGTGAACAGAGCCGCGATAAACATGGGTGTGCATTTTTTTTAAGTTAGCAAAACAAGTGAAAGAGGTTTATTAAAGCAATAAAATGAAGCAGAGCTGGTGAAAGGTAGTTATGGGCTGTGAGAAAGAGTTAAAGAAACAAAGAAGAGGAGAGTACCCTTGGAAAGATAAGAGTGAAGCCACACCTTATGGCATGCTACCTACCACTAGACAAATAGAGCATCCCTCAGGTGGGCACTGCCTTTTTTGGCTCCTAGTCTCATGAGACTGGCCCCTAGCCCAGCCCTGCCTAGGGACCTGTGGGATTGCCTGTGGTTTGGTGTCTGCATTCCTAGACTCTTCATTTCTGACATATTTGAACCCATTGCTACAGTCACTGCTTTATTTCACTTGGTTGAGGGTCTTCCTCTCTTTCGCTGTCCCTCCACCCTTTCCAAACATGATGTCTCTGACCAGGGAATAGCCTCTACTAGCAATATGCCAAAAGTATGTTGAGGTGAAGTTTTATCACCTTTGCCTCCAAGGAGCACTCTGGTTGTACCTTTTGACAGTCCATGGGATAGTTAGTAGTCTTCTCCATCAAAAGCATCAATTCTTCTGTCATCATTATTCATTGTCCAGTTCTCAGATTCATAGCAAGTGATTGAAAAGACCCTCTCCTAAATTGAGTGCACCTTGATCCTCAAACTTGATTCTCAGTAATTTGGAGAGGCCTCTGACTGCAGACTTTCTCAGTATATTATGTCTCCTGATCTCCTGACCGCTGGTACCGAGGGTCTTGATTGTAGATCTAAGTAAGATGTTGTTGACAGTTTCAATCTTTTCACCTCTGTGGTGATGTTACCAATCTTTTCTCCATCTCTCATGATGTTGCCAATCTCTTCTCCCTTTATTATGGTGTTTTAGTTTAGTACTTAGAAAGTACCTGTGTTGAAGTTTGATCCTCACAATTTTACACAGAAGAATTCATTTCACTCTAGCCTTTCGGATGGGGAAAGTGTAGTTCTAAAGGTTTAAGCAAGTATTCCTGAGTTGCACAGTGACAGGGGACATTGCCAGGATCTTACCAGTTCAGGTCATATCTGTTTACCTGACCATGTTCTCTCCTGTGAGCACATTTGCACACTGATGTATTTACTTGTACACCCAGCCTCATCTCTTCACATACTTGACAGAATAAAAACCTGGGTCAAAAATGTAAAAAAAAAAAAGGTCCACACTCTATCCAAGAAATGTAACAAGAGACCTTTATCTTTTATGGAACTCTTGGGTCAGGACTAATTCTTGTGCTTTATTTATTTTCAAGATAAAGCAGAACATCCTTATTCTAGCATGAAGGGGCAGCAGTTACTTCAAGGTCAGAGAGTGTCTGTGTTGACTACTTGTCAGACTACTGGCACGACATGGGAGTGAATGAATGCAGAGTCCAGGTGGTGATGCCCCTCAGGCTTCCATCTAAGACCAGCTACCACTGGCAACCTGGGACCTGGCGCATGTAGGAGGAGGAAAATGGAATGCCTTAGACATGAGTTACCAGCTTGAGAATTCTTCTGAATGGAAGTCTAGGGTCTCTCCACCGGAGGTGCTTCTCTTGACCTTGGGGAAACCAGAAAAAAGTGACAACCTAAACAGAAGATCCTGGCTGGCCATGACAGCAGCATTTGACTTTGTGGCTTTACTTTGATCATGTCCTGTGTGTAGAGATCTGTGCTAAGTGCCATGGATGCAAAGAGGAATAAAATACCCTTCTGGAGCTCTAGCCTACCAAGGGAGGCAGTTATGTGCATGACAGGAAGGGTGGAGTTTGATGGAACTAATGGCCCCAGTTAGAGGATTCAGCTCTTAGTGGCAGGGTTGAAGGGACTCTGTGAAGTAGTTGTCTGGGGCATCAGGGATATGAACTGTTAGAGTTGGAAGACATACCACTTTTTTGGTTCTTCTAGCGCAGGGTGTGAAGGTGCCACGTATCAGCAGCGCAGGGAACCTTGGGATGCTCCCCCTTCTAGGGCATAGGGCAGATGAGAGGCATAGAGAAGTCTGCAGCTCTGGAACCTTTGGAGTGACTGGATATCCTAAGATTTGTGGTCTCAAGGTCAGATGAGGCTCACAGAGGAGGAAGGGTCTTGCTGGGCCTGTAGAAAAGCTAGAACTAGAGCTTCCTTCACATGAGGGTTTGGCTGCTGAAGGGACAGTCCTATCCATTCCTTGTTGGAAGGTATTTTTTCCCCACTTAGCAGCTTTGTTGGGAATCTACTGTGCCAAAAAGATATCCTCCAAGTCCGTGGTAAGTAGATCAGGCATATTCTAGTTTTTTGCAGTCTTATTTAATATTGGTGGAGAAAGGCACTAAAACAAGGATGTCATTGTTATTGTTCCTTGCCTTTGAGTTGAGCACGACTCAACGACCCAGTGAACAAAAGTCCTGAAGCCCCTCTACAACTATCGACATTGATCAAAACAAAAGAATAAGTGATTATAATGTAAGTTAAGGACTGTGGAAGAGGTGAACATGATATTCTGGTAAAGAATAACAAGAAACATGCTCTAGACTGGGACATCAGGGAAGTTATTTCTTTTACTAATTATTGTAGTTTGGGTGAAGGTTTACAGAGCACATTTCTTTTATACTCAACAGTATACACATTCGGTTTCTTGATTTTGATTGCAGTTCCTTCAAATACAACAATGCTATTTCCTCTTCCTCCTTGGGTTTTCTGTTTCCATTTGTCCTTTTTTCCTGCCTTCTGAACTTTGTTTTTGGAATATACTATCTTTTTGGCTTCATATGGTTCATTGCATCGAGGAATACATTCCTTCCTGGTGCGGTTACACACTTTATAGGCTGGTCTCTTGTTTGCCTGAATGGTGATCTCTGGAGGTGGGGTCAATTCTAGGACTGAAGAATATTTTCATTTTTTAATTATTTATTTGTTGCTGTTGTAGAGTAACACTGTACTCTTCCCTGGCCTTTGGGTTAGCACCATAACGGCTGCTAGTTCGAATCCACCAGCAGTTCCTGGGAAGGAAGATGGTCAGTCTCCTCCCACATGATTCACTGCCATGAAATCGCAGTGGAGGGTCCACCATGAGTCGGCTCTGACTCTGTATCAGTGAGCTGAGTTGGGTTTGTTAAAGGTCTATAGTCTTGGGGATTCCTCCAGTCTCTGTTCAACAAGTAAATTGGGTCTTTTTTTTTTTTTATGATTTTGAATTTTGATCTGTACTTTCCCCCTCCCAGTCTGTCCAGGACCTTGTATCATGATCCTAATACAGAGTGGTCAGCGACTGGTCACCATCTAGTTCTTCTGGCCTCAAGTGAGAAGTGGCTGTGGTTTGTGTGGTCTGTTCATCAGTTGTTGG